ATTTCCATTTTTCATTTGGAACACCACAAAATATGGTGCTGTCATTGCCCGGACAGTTGTGAAATCTTTGGGGAATGGTTTATCGATTTTCAATTGAAATTACCGCGTTACTACACAAACTCAATCTTGGCTTAAATCAAGTTGATCAGCGTTCGTTTAGTAGGGGTTGGTGTCAGACTGGATTGGCTATTGCTATGAATATAAACGCTCTTGACAAGCATGGAGTAGACATGAATGCGTAGGTGTGTGTTACATGTATTTTGTTCAATGTATGAGTAATCAATCTTGCATCCAGGAGGACATGTTCCGATTCCCAGCAATGGAAAAACCTCTATATTGACCTGATTTTGGGGACAAAAATAAGAAACAAAAAAAATGTGTCAAGGGTATCAACTGGTGCATGGGCACAGCCAATTGCAGCACGAGCACCGCCAAATTGATTTTTCGTACAGTGCTGCTGAAGGTACCAATAACATTGAACCCACTTCCATGTAATTCTAGGAGCGACGTCTTGCGTAGCCAAAGCTGTGCATTATTACACAGGCAATTCGCCACTTGAATCTGCGATGCACTTTATAGGGTAAAAGGTAAAACCTACTCACAAGCGTGCTCGGATTTGCACTGCAAGCCACCCAACGTGAGAAGATAGAACGAGGGGAAACTATAATTGTCCCAGAGAAATTCTTTGTATAAGGCTCACTCCACCTGGCTATTAACTGTACGGAGAGCCCATTTCAAGTGCGATTTTTACCTCAATTGTGTGCACAGAGCAAGGTTCAATATCTTAAGTTTTGCGCCGCTGTATGTAACGAAAGCCTGAGACTATTTCGAATTATTCTCAAAGATGTACTCTGCGTCGGAGATGTGAATATGGAACCCGGGGGATATAAAAATACTTCCTCGCCTGTCATTTAGTAATGAATGCCATCGTTGCCCCAATCCTGTATTGGCACAACCAGAAATACAAGAAAGATGTTTGAGATGGAAAACGCTGTGATGCCAAGACATAAGGACGTTATGATTCAGGTATTACTTTTTAGTTTTATATCGAAAATGGCCTTTCCAGAGTGACTCAATAAATGTAAAGTTTGGTGCTGTCAACGCTGGAATTGCTGTGAAACACTCATGACTGTTTATTTGAAATGACAATCTGTGGAGAAATCTCGCGTTAATGCACACACATCTGCACGCCATTAGCGCGTGATAATGCCAGACAAATTGCTTTTGATGCAGCAAGAAAATACTGAAAATTTACTGAAAATATACTCCATTGGTTGACCTCATTTTGGAGAAAAATGCGACGACAGTTTCGATTGGGCGAAGCCGATTGAAGCGCAGGCACAATCAAATTGATTTGTTTTTTTGGCGAGTGCTCTCGATAATGCCGGTGATTGAACTCATCTCGATGTAATCTAGGAGCGGCGTCTTGTGGACCTACAGCTGTGCATTAAACCAGCAACTCTTGCCTTGAGCTTCCAATGCAACATGGACTGCTCTAAAACGGAGCTGAGAGTCGTACGTCGAGCCCCGCAAATATTCCGAGAAATGGCTCCAAAATAAAATGGTTAGACTAGAAGCCAAACTGATGCCATTATGTGGGTAAATTGAAAAGACACATTCTTACGATCGTCAACCCCGAACTTTGTATACATTCTGAAGTTTGGAGGTTGAAATCGACTCCTAGTGAATATAATAAACATTAAATACAAAGAAATGGATTGAAACAACCGTTAAAACTGAAGCGGAAATTATTTAAAAAAAGATCGCTGACGATTTAAGGTGTTTACAGAAGCAACACGTTTTCCTTTTACTCTTTGTGGATAATTACATATTAGCTTCGAGAGAGGTGGAATTCGACCGTGGTTTATCAATAGACAATTTCAATTTATAATCAATATCAGCAACTATACGAAGGTTCAGAAAATGCTGCACTTCATTTGCATTATGCTTGGTTCAATAGCCTCTGCCTGTTTCTGAAACTCAGTTACTTAATCCCAGAATTATATAAAGCCTTAGTGTTCATGCTGTCAGAAACGGAGACAGGCAGAAAAAAAAGATAGCAATTTGAGAACCATTAAAGTCCACTTCGCCTACTTAGACGCTGCTCGCCCTGACTACGGGAATTGGCTGTTATTCTCCCAGTGGACCTCGACGAGGTTTGGGTGTCAGCAGCAGAGTCTCAACTTGTCAGGAGCTATTAAGTCTGCAATCTTATACCATTCCCTGAGATTGTGTCCAATCCTGTTGCACAATATGGCCTGCGGAAATCTCCTTGCGTGGAACAGTTGTTTCGTAACGCTGCACTTTTCCCCAGCCGATTCGATGAAATCCCGTGCTTAAACAGCTGTCTAATTGCTAACTGTGTTATGCGAGCTGTGTTACCTCACAACGACCGTACCTGCGGCAACTGTCTCTTCAGCAGTCTGTGAACCAGGGGAAGATATTCCCAAAGATGAATATTCTCTCAACGGTAGAATAGAGTGGAAACGTTCGAAGCAAACGTGCCTTACAGAGCGGTGAAACTTAGGGCGCTTTTTAATGAGCCAGTTCTGTAAATCAAAAAGCCAGGGTCAGCGTAGCGAAAGTCAGCTGATAGGACAGACTATTGGATGCGCCCACAGCTGTTCCAGAATAGCCTCGTACTGAGCATGCACTGTTGGAATACTGAAATGGCTCATTCGCAGCAAGCTGTATGAAATTCCACACGGTGTGGAGTGGTATTAAGAATACCAAACATAGCGGTTTCGTGCACGTAGGCCTACAGCTGACAAACCTGCTCAACAGGGCTACGAACCGATGTGTTGGGAAGCGTTGGTGGTTTTCAAAGCTACCGCCCTGAGACGGTGCCGTCTGACCAGTACGCTCAAGTGGAGTGCTGCCAGAAGAGCGATTTCTCAGGTTTCCGAATACAGTGGTCTGTCTTCCCATCGCACTGTATTTCGGCACTCAAAGAAAACAGTCTCACGGGAAACAAATGTTCCAAACTCTGACGATTCAAACATGAAGCGGACCACAAATATTTCTATGTGAGGATTTTGGGCCAACACTTATACTCAAACATTTAAGTTAAATAATAAAAGCATTGAAATTCCTACATTTTGCTATATGTGTGTTCATCTCCTTTCATGTTTCAACTTTCTGGTAGTCTTGATGGGATCAAGTTTTCTTTGACTGGTCGCGTAAAACGCACATCCGACATGCAGTACTGTTACACTAGTTCCTGCTGGTAAATGACTATTTAGTAAAAGAGCCCCACCGGGAACCATTCAAATACAGGATGCATGTCGTAAGTCTTAGCGAAATGTCATAAAAGCGATTTAAAAAAAAAAGATCGAAATTAGGAAGATTTCTGCAAGTAAAGTAAAAAACAATGTTTAGGGTATATCTGCGTATCTATTATCTGTGTCGAAGATTTTTTAAAGGTAAAATCGGAGACTACCCTTTTAGATTGACTGTGCCACCTTATGATGCCAAACCTGTACTCCAGTTTCATGCATTTCATTGATGGTCAGCTATTTAGTTGATCACAGGGGTGTAATAATTATTTAAGCACAAAGGAGAAAATGGGCAAAATTTGGTGGACCTAAGCGAGAGGGACTTTAGTTGTTGCACGCCAGGCACGCTACCATGCGTGTTTGTATGGGGGATACTGCGGCTCGACGCAGACACTCGGCAAAGTTGAACCTGGCTCAACTTTGCTGATCGTTCGCTGGCTGGTTTTTGTTGTCGGCGACACCTCCGTTTGGTATGTTTCCATGTCTCCGCGTTGCGGTTTGCGTCTTGATAGCGTTGCTTTCTGCGTTTCTTACGTCGATATGGAAACAAGGCTTAATTATGCTACCCACAAACGATAGACACCGTGCAACGTGTTAGCCGATGTTCCATCATGGCTACTATTTACCTTAACCTGCGAGTTATAGATGTTTCTTTTATTTAAAGCAAGTTTGTGATAAAGTGCGCAGAAAATTCAGGAGGGCAGGGGGATGTTGGGTCTGCCAGACTATTTGGTATAGCGGTGTTCATTACTGACCTTTTACTGTATGTATGCACATCCATAACCATACTGTTGATTAGTGCCATTAGTTAAGGGTATACTTGAAATTGAGAATCCAAAATAACATTCATGGCACGTCTACTTCTATATATGTATTTTACAATAAACCAAAATTATTTGAGCTGATGTCCATTGGTTTTTGTTTCAAAAGAAAAAGTAGGAAAGCTTACTGCCCAGCAGTGGAAGAAGAAAAATATTCCTCAACCCCCGGCCCCACCTCCATCTCCGCAAACCCTGGCACAACCAAAAGTAGCGAACAGCATTTTGAAAGACAAATTGTTACTGTCAAAACCATTTGCCCGTCAGTGAAATAAGACGCCCAAATGACAAGAAGACAGTTCGGGAGACGGTTGCAATTGTGCTGTCAATGTGTAGGCAACGTCTTGCCGCCGGCGCAGGAAAGATCCAAAGCAGCTGCATTGATTGATTGAGACATGCCCACGCTTGAACTATGGAACGTGCGCAGTAAAAAAAAAAGAGAGTTTGTGCGCGTGTGTGTTGCAGACAGTCTTATTCAGAAGTTTTGTGGGAAAAGAACGGCAGACTCGCTGACGCCCAGGGCTGTGTGCATCATCCATGGGCATACACTGTCTGATACCGACAAATGTATGGGACGGCAATGCCACTTCTTGTCCTGATAAAAAGTGAGCCCTGTCGCTTGGTAGCGGCATTATTTCTACATCGCTCTGCCAAGCCCAATGGCTCCAAACCGACATGTAAGCGACCGTGAGGTTAACTGTCTTCCTTTGACTCCATTTGCTCGTTCTCTTGTGTCTTCATCGTTCCCAAACGATTGAACAAAGACTAAAAAACGGCCGGGAGCCTTATTCATTTAGGCTAACAACCAACGTTATATAAGCTTCTGGATTTCAAAAGTAAGTCTACTTTTGAAAAAAATTACACCCACAAGGATTGAATTCTGATGTTTCTGTTTACCTCTTGTCAGGTGTTACTGCACGCCGTGCTGTAAAACAAGTGGACGTGTGGCAAGTCTTTGAGATCCTTGGGTTAATTTTCTGAACAGCGATCAGTATCGGCATCATCGTTGAAACCATGGTTCACTGGCAGGAAACTAGTTCTAAGAAGCCAGCTCATTGGTGAGTTTACCACTTCCTAGTGGTCCATCTGTTCATACTCATTTCATTCTCCTTTTCCCTTCCCAAAACGAAGACACGGAATACCATCACAAAATGTTCCATTGCCTATACCACATCAGAGCTATGGGGATTTTACCTCTTAGGGTAGGCCATAGAGGACCCCTCAAAACAACTTGATGGTCATTCACATAAGAGTGCAAAATGCTTAAATCTGTTACCTTCAGCCTGAAAAAAGTCTTTGTATGTGGATGGTTGAAATTGGTGGCTTATCTTTAAATGCTATGATTTGTAATGGAATAACAGCTTAACAAATGTGTGAGCTCCGTTCTCTGGAAGGGCGGGGTCTTTTAACGATAAGAAAATGACAATCATTTACGAAAAAAAATCTGTCCCCGGACAGAAAACCAGGATGCCCGCTTCTGGTGGTAGACGGGTTATCAAAGCGTTATGAAGAGCTGAGTAGGTATAAAACGCGGAAGTAACTCCTCTCTTTCTACTCCACTGCCTTTACACAAGATGGGTTATTATTTTTCACTGTTTGTGTCGTAAACTTTCAATGTTTGGTGTTTAGATGAAACAATTAACTAGCCTGATGTTATACTCATAAAAGCCTGCAATGGAGGTTTGTGCATCGCGCCGCGGTCGTTACTGAGGCAGCAAAGTGGGTTTTGAAGGCGTCAAGTCCCCCCTTTGCGTTTTACTGAGAACGACGAGGTACTTATTGGATATCGTTAGCTGTTCATAGTCTATCCCGTTTCTAAAATCAAATTAGATGCACGTTGTCAGCCGTGATGGATCAGGCTCGCCGACCGCTGTTAAGGCTTCACACTCCGCATAGGGTGTCTTGGTGTTTTTGCGTATCAGGTTGCGATTTGATATAGACAACGTGGGCTTCATTAGTCCCACTGATCCATCCAGACTTTGCCGTCTGGCAATCTAAAATTTGCGTCTCGAATGTAAAGAAAGGCGATTTTTCATCTGCAGAGAATTTGTTCACTTTGTCGTCTAATAACCAAGTGAAAAGCTTCTCCATGAAGCCAAAGGGTGTTTCGTGTTAAGTTAGCTGTACCTGTGCCAACATATAGGCCTACAAGGTCTCGGTCAGGGACACTGTACCTTGTGGGCGTTACATGTTTTAGATAGGCCTTGAAATTGTTACGATTAACCTGAGTCCTAAACCCTAAAACAGCATTGGTTTTAGATCTCCTTGAAGAAGTTTCATCATAAACAGATTCCAGCCCGCAACCTCAACTTTTATTCGATCTAAACAAACTTCGGTATGTTGGCTTGATGTTTTTTAGCGAAGTGCATTTAATATTTCCACATTTCATTAAACATTCCTAAATTACGCACGAGACACCAGCCACTTCTCAATTTAAAACAAGTAGGACCTAAACGGGAAACGATTAAGGCATTTTGCATGGTACAAGACACCAGTCTCTAAGTTTACATAAACAATAATCTACTGCTATACAGTAAAGAAATCGTCCTTATAGGAATACATGCCAAAGTACGAAAGTAACGGTCCACCGTATTGTGACACAAAGGTGACAAAGTAGAATCTATCCCGAAAAAACTAGTAGATAAAATTGTTTTGGTTGAAGAGTATGAGACTGTTTTTCAAGAGAGAATAGTGTATGTTTACACTGGCAAAGACCACGGTGTCGCGCAAAGTATATGTATGTAGGTAGTAGATAGACCTTCATGGATTTGATAAATGGCAAAAAGTATGAGAAAATAAAGACTATTATTAACAAAATGTTGTTAAATGTCAGTGTGAACTTAAATTACAAAGTTCACTGTCAAAATAAATGTTAATGTCTCAACTCCTTGCAAGAGAGATGACACCTTGGTTTTTAGTCTTAATTTCACAAGATAGGATGATAACTGTGTATAAGAATCACTGCACTTTTCATTCCACTGATTAGAACTGTTTCATGTTCGAGTCAACTGCTTTGTGGAAAAATCGAGAAAGATAGAGCAGAATTTTTAACCGCGTTAATCGAAGATCTTTTAATTCATCCTGCGTAAAATCCATGAAGTATAGGGCGTTCGAAGTAAGCGAACAACTTAAAACCTGTGGAGTCAGGGTGGGAACAGGCACGACAGGTTCACTTTCCCTTAAAAAGTATTCAACAGACAGGAGTAATCAGTGAAGTAATACGCCCCCTCGACAATATACGGTTGCATTGCAGATTAGTGGAAAAACTTCATTCAGAAATGAAGTAGGCTTATGCAGTCGCCTCGTGTCTATGACACTGATACGGCTGGGGCGTGCGCAATAATGCTTAGTGACCTCACTTTCAATTTGCACGTCAATTTACATGTCAATGAAAATCTAAAACTTCATCTAAAACTGACTCATAATTATGGACAAAGAGGGAATTGTATCTTGAAACACGGGTGATTTTAAGTGTGGAAATCGTACTTTTTGTTGTCGAAAATCCTCTCGTTTTGCAGCTCAGATATTGCCACCTGTTCAGACCGTACCATTACGTCCTGGGGGTTATTCCGAGTTTGCAACGTTTTTGCGTTAACAACCCCCTTTCCTAAAAAAATTAACTTCCCTAAGATCCAATTAACTTTCTACTTTACCTAACACGCAGTTTCCTCTTATTTCAGTTTACCACGCGTTTAGTGAATTTCTGCCGGTATGTTTTTAGCTGCGTTTAGTATTACCTGTTCATTCAGACTCTCACAACATCTGCACACACTACACATAAAAGTCGGCGAAATATAAAAGGGTTGCGTAGCATCGTGATCAGAATATTGACAAAAGAACACGTATACAGTCAGTGCTCTGAATGAGATCAATTCAGAAACTGACTGTATGTGTATATTTTTGTCAATATAGGCCTACATAAAAATCAGCGCCCGTTAAGAGATATGTTGTATAAAACGAAACGACCATCGCCAAAAAAGAGAACAAATTTCTGTTTTATTGAAAACTACGTCATCCTTGGCGAAATTTTACTGACTCTTATGAACTTTCTTTCAAGTGAGATAATCTACGATTATACAGTAGTCCCGTTTTTGAGATTTCACCAAAAATGTCACCTACCTCGAAACCCCTTCGTGGCAGCACTTCATGAATGTGTTTTGGCGTTAATAATCCAAAGCTAAGTATATTGTGGTGTTTATTTATTTAACAAATACGTGTTGATAAGTTTATAAATTTAGATACAATTACACATTTGGGTGTTAGTAACAATGCACAAAAACATCTACACAAGGTAATTCCAATGACACGTTTATATTTGGCGTTGGTTTTTACAGTGCTGTTCATTATGCGTGCAAACAAGGGCCAACCAGAACGTTGCATAAAAACTAACTACTGGTCCCCATTCACAATGAGGGCAGGGGCCAGTCTACAGTCCTTGACAAAGTGGCAGGTATCCCGCTGATGAAAACAGCCGCCATGGCGACGTACACGCGCACCAGCCAGTCAGGGGTCGGGTTACACAATCTTTTCTTTGATCAGTACGTAAGCGCCCGCTCGTTGCAGCTGTTTTCATCGGTGCGGAATGGTTGCTACCCGCCATTTTATGAAACTCCCGGATGTCCACACTACATGCTCTCTGTCTTCACATCCACTCTCGCGTCAATGTTGTAATAACCAGCCGGAGCGCAGACCGCGCACATTGACCCGGTACTCAACATTGTGTCTACCGTGCCGTTTGGTGTGCGCTTTCTGGCTGACTGCTGATGCAAAGGGCCCATTTTGGTACAGAAACAACTTACAGTGTCCATCATGCCATTTTCGTGCTCAGCACCTGGGGAAATATGGAATGGTCAGTACTTCTATTTGACTTTTAGAAAATGTTGAAAAATGACAGGTACATTTTGGCAGTATTCTATTTGAGTTAGAAAGGGGACATATCTGACTATGTAATGGTGACTTTGTGCCGTGCCATTTTTGTAACTCCGAATTCCGATATTGATATATAGATATATAGATATGAGGCACAGATTAACTAAAATGACAACATTAAGTTTCAGTCAGATCAAAATAAAGTATTACGTGGGTTACCGTGGGGGAAATTCCATGGGCTATGCCCGTTCTGCAGCGACGAAGGGGTAAAACTAAAAGCGTTATTGATTTGACATCCATACCTACGAGTGACGCTGACGATACAGCATATGGCAACGCAGGGCACCACTTTGCCGTATATGCCAGTCATCACCATGATCATGATCTACTACCACTACTACTGCCGCTGCGGCTGCGGCTGCCGCTGCCGCCACCACCACAGCCACCACCACCGCCACCACCACTCTTATAGCTACTGACCTGGAGCCTAGCGTTGGAAATATAAAAAGCACCCCAGGGACTCGAACCCACCGTCTAACATTCTGATAACCATTCGGCCATTTCAGATAGTATTGCTTTTCACGGTTCATATTAAGGAGATAACAAAATCAGTATCCTTACTGCACATAATGTAGCTGCGTAAAGACAGAGTGATTAAAACGCTACAATAGTGCATCACGTAGCAAAAAACCCCACATTTACACATACAGTTTTCGTCAACATTAAATGTTCTTCTTGGCAACTTCACTTTACTGTTTTTTATATGAAAGGGCGCCAATATGGGCAAGTCCACAGACCACGTCAATACACCTGTCTACATAACTGAGGTAGTTCACAGTATTATGTGAATGACATGCCATTTGTGCCCTTTTTGGGGGGGGGCGTTTTCGCTCGTTTTCTTTACTCGGATAAAATGACAGCCAAATCAGGAATCCAATAGTTATGCAAAATAACGTGTTTTGTGGAGATTCTGACGTGGGTGTATAGCTCTTCAGACACATTGTACTGTGAAGAAAACCTCTTTACAGCAAATTCCTTCTCTTTAAAGATGTGGTTGAACAAGCACTTTTCCTGTCATTCAACACTGTAGACCGTACGTTGTATTTTCATTTGTGTGAAATGTTGATGTGAATAAGTCAGTGTGCTTCTTCCTATTCATACTTCCCTTTTCTCATCAGTCACTCTTTCA